TGGTGAGATCTCCTAACAGGCAGCATCAGTTCTGTTGCAGATGCTGGAGCCTGAGATTGAGTGGCCCATGGAGAACAGGACTGAGGACACAGAAGGACCAGGAGAAGCGGTCTGACAAGCCCTACCCTTCCCACCAGGGAGGCCCAGTGGACTTTTGGGAGCAATTTTCCATTTGTGTGGTCCCCAGTGATGCCTGCAGCACAGAGGGAAGGTCAGGAGGCTGGTGCTCCGGGTGGAGATGTGCAGCTTGCTGCAGAGGATGAGGAGCCGTCGCGTGATTCTGGAGGATTCTGTGAAACCAAAAGGAGAGATGCACATTGCAGCCTTGGAGAAAGGTCCGCTTTGTTTTTTAATAATAAAGGGTGACATGCAAGCTTTATTAACAAGGCACACAGGGGAAAAAAGGCTCAAGGGATAACCCTGAAAAAGTGGTGCTAAATGTGTCATTTTTATGAAGCTGATTTTGTGAAGAGTGCCTACATGCTTTGGCAGGAGGTTGCAGCAGGTTTACAATAATTTGTGGAAAGATAGAAATGTTTTCACCCTGAAGTGAGAAGAAGGGCAAGAAAGCCCTGTGTTGAGATGCTTCAGAGCCATCTTCAGAGGCAGAGGCTGGCAGATGGATGGATACCTGTCACTTCGGGTCGGGAGAGATGGGTGCAGCTCCAACAACCATGGACTGTGCTGGGGGCTGACGTGTGGACTGAGGAACCAAACCCTTTATGGAGAGCCTGCATCCACACGCCGTGGACAAAGCTGGATTTTCACCTCTGTGGAGCTTGGCTTGAAAAATATCCCCCGTCTGAAATGGCTGAAAAGAGGAAGAGTGATAAGGAACCAGATGGCAGGCACGTGCCCTGAGGCTGCAGGGACAGGGCTGTGCTGCTCCCAGCCTGCTGGCATGGCCCAGGACACCCCTGCTGCCCTGGGGACTGACCCACCAGCAGCCTCTGTTTCTCCAGCCCTGCCCAGAGCTGCTGCAGCCCGCTGACCTTTCTGCTGGCCCTTGCATTAGCTCCTCTTAAACCGCCTTTGGATGCGCCAGGGTTTGTTTCTGTTTCTAAGGCAGGGAGTGAGCAGTCCTTAGAGCAGGGCCCTGTTGCTAACAGACCCTTTGCTCTCGGGGAAGTCACCCCATCAATATCCAGGTCAAGAAGAGTTATACTGACGTTTGTACAGCTTTTTTTTTTTTTTAATTTAATGGAATTGGCAGTCCACAACCAAAAGCAACTGCCAGGGGGAAAAAAAAAGTTTAATATTCCCCTCCTGATTGCTCGGATTGCTCGATTCGGAGTGTGCCTGTTGTTATATTTATATTTGTGTTGCTAAGGCAGCGGTTAAAAGCGTTTTTCAAATTAGGCACTGGTAAGCTGTATGGCAAGCAGGGCTCCCTTTGATGGCACTGCCACCAACACGTCTGCATCTGGAAAGCAAGGACAGACCTGTCCCTGGAGGACAGCAGGGTTTCTCCTCCAAGAGAAATGCAGGCCACAGACTTCATGCAAGGTGTTCTTCAGCTTTCCCAGTGTCTGGAATGTATTGTTTATTGATGGCACCCAGCGTTGTTTATTCTTGGCACGGAGGCTGTGGGGCTGATCATCCTTTCTGCAGTTCCAAGGAGCAGGAGATAAGAGTTGGCAGCATGTTTGGGAGGTCCTCGCTGTGCCTGGCTCTGAACATGGAAAAGAGAGGCTGGACCTGGGGCTGGGCTCCCCTTTGATTTCTGCAGGAGTGCTGCTGATTAGTGAGAAAGTGACAGTTCATTTGCTTTTGCCAAAATAATGAAGAAGATGAGGGCCAGCCTCTCAGTGATGCACTTGATGAAGAGCACGCTTTCATCGGTGCCAGCCAGCCTTACCTTTCCCTCTTTTTTGTGCTTTGACTTTGTTCTTTGGGTCTCATTAAGAGAGGGAGTGGATCCTTTCCCAATTAGAATGTTGACATGTCGAAGACGCTCTCCTTTCCCATCATTTTGCCTCTGTTTGTAAGTGGTTGCACCTTGCAGGATGAACTAGAATTAAATCAAGTGAACTTTGATTGAATAATGCAAGCTGTAAAGCAACCCTTCTCCATGAAAAATCTCATTTCTTTTTTATTTTTCTGTTTTGATCCCCTAGCCTGCATGGAGATAACCTTGACAGATAATCCCATGGCTAACTAAAGAAACTGGGCTGGAGGGAACGTGCTGGTGTGGGAAGGATGAGCAGCCCACTTTGTGCCAGCGTGGGCAGCACAGGCAGCTCTCACCTCTGAGGGTGCAGACCCGGGGAGGAGGATTTCCCATCCTTGTGGCTGTGTCACTCCTTGGTTTGCCTGAAATCTGGAAGTAATTATCATTACTTGTGCTGTGTCCCGGGGTGGGGGAGTTCCAGTTCCAAGCCTGGGAACGGATGCTGTGTGCAGCCCCTCAGGAGCCTCCTGCTCCGTGTGGATGTGGGGCTTTCAGCAGGGGTGCAGAGCAGACTGAGGAGGGGACACGTGAGACACACAGGAGTACAGAAACACCAGGAAATGCAGCAGGGAGTGCACAGGAAGGACATCAGTCCAGTGAACATCAATCATGGGGAATTTGCTCGTCAGTGAATGGGTTGAGCCAGGATATGGTCTTTGTTTTTGGTTTGAAATCAATAGCAAAGCTCCCAGGGATGTTGTTCCGAGGGGGATTTAGTGCCAGGTCTGTGTCTGGGCTGTGGCATTTGATGGCAGCACGTGTGGTGTCTCCTCAGCCTGTGGGGTTTGGGTGGCAGTGGTCAGTGTTTCCCTGTGGATGACCTTGGGTATTCCTTGGCCCTGAAGCCTTGGCAATGCAGTGTCCGTGCTCTGAGTGTTCTGAAGCTCTTCAGTGTACCTGTGCATATTGAAATTTGCTGTCTCACCCAGCTGTTCCTCTCCTGGCTTTCCCAGGGCTGTGCACACACAGGGAGGGAGGTGATGGAGGCAGTGGAGGGTGCAGGGGGTCTCCCTGCTGCTGGGCACAGTGGGGCTGGGGATGCAGGGATGGAGCCAGCTGAGGCTCTGGGCTCGTGGGGGCTGATCCCACATCTGCCAGTGCTGGGTGATGGGGGTCTCCCCTCTCTGGGAGGATTGTGCCAAAACTGGCCCCCATCCCTTCTCCCTCCATTGCTCGGCTGCTCTCAGCCCTTTGCAGGGCTGGGGGCTGCTGTGGGGTGGCATCCCCCCTTGGCATGGCAGCCCTGGGGCTGATGGACAAACACAGGGTCAGCTGATTTCCGTGGTGTTTGGGTTCCTGGGCATCACATGCTTTGAAAATAATGTATCTTTGCTCCTGAGCTCTTAGCACCAAAGTCATCCGGCAGGACCAGGGATGCAGGAACTGCAGGGACCAGTAGTTTGTGCAGTAAATCTCCAGCGTGGCTCTCCAGCAGTAATTACTGTGTGCAAGTAATAACCGAGCTGTGCTGAGCGCTGGGCCAACTCCCCCGGCTCGCTGCTCCTCGCCTGTTCTCTCTGGGAGGTTCCTGTTTGGTAAATTAGATATTGTGCTGTATTTCAGAAAAGGTTACACTTAACCAAGGCTGCCTCTGCTTTATTGCCTTGGCAGAGCCCTGTAACCTCTGCTGGGGTACGACTGGATTGCACGTTGGGCTCTGCTGCAGTGCCCCTCTCCCTGCATCCTGCCATTGTGATTACGTTAGCAGCAGACTCTGCTTTCCTTTATTTATTGAGACATTAAAGATGCATGCATTTATTTTTACCGTGTTCATAATTGCCATAAAAACAGGCCATAGTATCCCAGGGTGGCTGTGGGAAGGAGAGCAGCCACGGGGCTGGGGCGAGGAGCAGCGAGGCAGAGCGAAGGCAGGACAGGGCTGGGGGCAGCTGGCTGTTCCCTTTTCTGTCCTGGGAGGATGCTGCTGCTGTCCTTGAGGAAGGGGAGCCGAGCAAAGCCTGCTCCTTCTGCTGCTCAGGGGCAGGGAGCAGCCCAGGGCCAGGGCTGGTGCTGGTGGGAGCCCAGGTGGGAGCCCTGGGTGGACAGGTGGGTGGAGTGCCTGACTTGTGCAAGGTCTGCATCCTCTGGGGTCCCTGAAGTGCAGGAAGGATCCTGGCCAGGCTGTGCAGATCCCACTATGTCCCACCACTGGAACCATGCAGAGTCACTGAGCATCTCCCATCACATCCTGCCATGCACCTGCACAGCTCCCCCTGCACAGCTCCCCTGCACAGCTCCCCTGCACAGCTCCCCTGCACAGCTCCCCTGCACAGCTCCCATGCACAGCTCCCCCTGCACAGCTCCCACCCCGTGCCCCCTGATGGCTCCCACCATGGCCTTGTGGCTTTCCCCCACTCTCTCCCCTCCCTTTTGCCTTTTTTTGGTTCCTTACCTGCTGCCAGCACCAGAGCCCCGGGGCTGTGTAATCTGAGGTTAAAAGATGCGTTTCAAGTGCACAGTTAGTGGGTTTTGCTTGCAAGTAACAACTCCTTTGACTTTTCTCCCCTTCTTTCACTCCCCTCGAACTTTTAAGCGTGTCACCCATTGTTTGCTTTTTTATTAATAACAGAGCCCACTGTCTCTGCAAATGAAATGATGTGAAACAAAGAAAAGTGCCCGCATTAAATTCTCTGGCAGGGGATTACCTTGCTGGCATTTACATATCTATGCAATAAATATTTTAACATGTTAATTATACACTAATAAGAAAAATACCTTTTGAACTTTCAGTCAAATTGACACACACAGAACTGAGTCCATCAGGGAATTAAAAGCAATTAGTTTTGTAACAGAGCATAGTCACATTGTTTCTTCTGTGCAAATTGTTCTGTGGTCACCAGACAGGCTTTTCTTTGGTGGAAGTTGGTGGAAAGCCTGACAGGTGCTGGAGTTTTCCATGCCTGCCTCTGCCCTGCTCTCAGGGGCCTGTGCCATCATGGGATGCTCCTTCCCTCTCAAAAGGTTTCATCCTGGCCCTGCAAACCTGGCTCTTCCCAGCCACGGAGAAATCAGACTTGTAACCATCTCCCTTTTCTTTTCCTCCTTCCAGACTGAAAACTACTCCTTTGATTCCAACTACGTGAACAGCAGAGCTCATTTAATAAAAAGGTACGTAGGCTTGCTTTGCCCAGCCACATCCCAAGGGTTTCATGTTCTTTCATACTGCCTTATGTACTACCTGCTTGTTTTAATATGCAAAACTTTTTAAGAGTAATGATTTGATTTTAAAACGGTACTTATTTACCATTAAGTCTCGTTGCTCATGGTTTGCAGTAAAGGAAATATTTTTTTCCCTTCTCTTTGGCTTTTTCATGCTGGGAAGGTGCAGTAAGTGAGGTAGAGTGCTGTTACCCTGACAACTTTCAAATTCTGAGAGTTTATTCCATTTGAATGCGCAGGAATAAAAGGATAGATTTGGGTGGTGAGATCTCTCTGCCACATGAGGCGGGGAAAATTAAAAAAAAAAACCAAGTTGTTTGGGGCAGGTAATTGGGCTGGATGCAGCTCATGGTTCTAGCTCACTGTTTCAGTTTGAACACCAAGGCAAACTGCACTTGGCTAGGCTGATTTTTTTCCATGTGTAAAAGGAAACAATCACAACCTGCAACCTGGCAGTTACCCTTGGGGAAGCAGAGCCCTTTGGGTGAAATACTGCTGTCCCCAGAGCCTGGTGGTGGTGAGGGGATGTCTCTGGGGGTTCAGCAGCTGAGCCCTGCTGGGCTGTGTTAACCCAGAGGTGAGCATCACCCCAGGGGTGAGGCTGGGCTTGTGCTGCCTCCTGGCAAGGGCACTGCACTGACCCAGCGTGGGCAGCACTCCTCAGCAGGGCTGCAGGGCCAGCTCCCTGCACAGCAGCAGGGTGCAGGATAGGCCAGCAGCTCCTTGGCCACCTCCTCCTGTCCCCAGGGCCTGGCCAAGGTGGGGAGCACCATGCCCATGGCCATGCCCATGCCCGTGCCCAGCACAGCTGTGCTCCGTGACTCTGCAGAAGCCATCCCTGAACCACGGCTTTTACAGAGAGCAGAAGCCAGCCCTGAACTGTTGAGGTCTGATCTGAGCAGTAAAAATACCCAATTATCTGCCTGGCTGCGATCCCATTTGTTTACATGCTGGGAGCCCGAGCAGTGAGGGAGCCGCGGGTTCAGCTGCCAGGGCAGGTGTATTTGCCTGCCTGGCTCCTGTGTTTAACCATGCTAATGTGACACTGGGAGCTGGCTGGCCTGTGCCACGCTGCTCCTCGCCAGAGAGTCTTCAGGCAGGCTGAAAAAACCCCAAATCTATTAATCTTTCCTCGTTCACACCTAAGATAGAGGCACGGCGCTCCCGCCTGCCGCAGCGGGGCTGGCTCCGGGGCTGCAGTGTTTGGGAAATGCATTCCCCCAGACCTGCCCATCCTTTACAGAAGTGTCAGCCGTGCAGGCACGCCGTGTGCCTGCTGCATTCCGGTCTGGCTCTCTGCAGGGAAGATAAATGCCTTGTAACACGGGTTGCCTGCACGTTGTGAGCAGCAGCTCCGTGTAGGACAGCGTTCCCCTTGCTTTCTACCTTTGTCTTGTATCTCAAGTACTACGGGTGCCAGGAATGCTGTGCAGACATCTGAGAACAAAAAATATTTTCTGTAACATACTGTGGCATCATTTTCATCCTTTGCCTTTATGAAGATGTTGTAGCTCTGCTATCTTTGGTGAGTGAATCTTCTCAAATCCAGCACTTAATTAATCTATTTGTACTTTTCCTGTGTTGTCTGCCTGCCTCTCTTGCTCATCTACACTCACACAAATGAATTGTAGATTTGTAGTGCTTTCTTAACTTAAAAATCTTTGATGTCACCTGGAATCAAAGTCAGCGGCTTCAATAGGGACATCTTTATTTAAAAGGTAATGTTTGAAGGTTTACCAATTTATATGTATTTCAGAGCTCCCCCCCCGTGTGCTTTTGCAGAGCATTAGATGGTAGGTGGTCTGCTTGGTTTCCGTGGAGACACAAAAGGGCTTTTCAAAGTAATGAAAATCTCCAGCTCTTTGGGGCTTTGAAGCCCAGGCCGTGTCTTTGGCTGACGTTTCACTCCAGATCAGCCGGCGAGGAAGTTCAGGGTGGGTGCAGCTGGATCCTCCCAGCGAGTGCAGCTCTCCCGTGCCACGGCTGGCCGTGGAAGGAGCACAGGGTGGGTGTCCCCAGGCTGTGCCACCTGGGACAGGTGTGTCCCGAGGTGTCCCTGCTGCTCACAGCACCCCCGGGTCCTGGGCACGGCCCCTCTCAGGGTGTGGGGGTCCCAAGTGCAGCCAGAGATGCAGTTCTTCATAGAATCACACAATGGTGGGGTTGGACGGGACCTTAAAGATCACCCAGTGCCACCCCTGCCATGGCAGGGACACCTCCCACTGTCCCAGGTGCTCCAAGCCCTGTCCAGCCTGGCCTTGGGCACTGCCAGGGATCCAGGGGCAGCCACAGCTGCTCTGGGCACCCTGTGCCAGGGCCTGCCCACCCTCACAGGGAAGAATTCTTTCTAATATCTAAATACCATCTCTCTTCTTCCAGTTTAAAACCATTCCTCCTTGTCCTATCTGCCTATCTGCACTATCTGCCTGTGTAAAAAGTCACTCTCCCTCTTTTTTGTGTGTCCTATCAGTATTTGCCCATGTCAAAAGTTACTCCTTTTCATAAGTCCCCTCGAGGAGCTGGAAGGGGCTGTAAGCTCTTCCCAGAACATTGTCCAGCATGAGCAATCCCAGCTCTCAGCTGTCCTCACAGGAGCTGCCCTTCTCCATCCCTCTGGCCAGGGGCTGCATTCCGTGGGGTGTTGGGGCTGCTCAGCCCCTGGGGGACATCTGGGAGCAGCTCAGTCCTTGCTCCTTCCAGCAGTGCCTGTGCTTGCAGAGCCTATCAAGGATGTTGGACTGTGGATCACATTTCCTTAAAGCTGCATGAACTTGGACCCAGAATCACTGGTTTATTTTTAAAAATAAGAGTACATCATCGTGATTAAGAAGACATTCCTGTTTCCAGGAAGACTTTTGTTTTTAAGCTTGAAGTGATTAGGATTTGGCTTATAACCTAAAAAAATGGGGTTTAGATCTTGTGTAACTTCAGTATGAGGTAGTGCAACTTGGGAGAGCCAAGTTGTAGAAACAGCTCATTTAATGTATGCTTTTAAAATTATTATTTCAAACCCTGCTTCACTCTGAGGCTCTGTAAGACACAGGGCAGCCTGAGGGTGCACCACAGGGCTGCCACACCAGAGGCAGGAGCAGCCTGTGGGGTAGTACAGGCTGGACGCTGTGTTTTGGAGTGCCAGTCAGGGAGTGTCCCCCCAGTCCCTGCCCCAGCTCTGTGTGCCTGGCAGTGTCACTGGGTACCCCAGCTCTGTGTGCCTGGCAGTGTCACTGGGTGCTGGGGACAGGGACCTGCCCAGCTCTCCATGCCTGGCAGTGTCACTGGGTGCTGGGGGACAGGGCCCTCCTGTCCCCTGCAGTGCCACAAGGTGTCGGGGGCCACCGTGTCCCACCCAGTAAGTGACAGCTGTGTTTCCCCAGCAGCTCCACGTTCAAGGACTTGGAGGGGAACAGTCTGAAGGACAGTGGCCATGAGGAGAGTGACCAGACGGACAGCGAGCACGACGTGCAGCGCGGCCTCTACTGCGACACGGCCGTCAACGACGTGCTGAACACCAGCGTGCCCTCCATGGGCTCCCAGGGCCCCGAGCCAGGTGAGCCACTGCTGCACCCTGCGGGGTGCCCCTGCCCCCCACTGCCCCCTCAGGTGCCCCTGGGCTGCCCAGTGCAGTGAGGATGCTTAGAGCTTGCTGGGGATAACGCCGTACATCGTCACAGTGCTGGGTGGATGTAAATTAATCTTCACGCCATGCCTGTCAGGTAAGCGAGCAGTTGGGATTATCCTCTGCTCACAGACAGAAAACCCAAGGCCCTGAGCATGTGCCTGGCAGTGAGGGAGTGCTGGAGTTGGGATTAGGGCAGGAATTAGAGGCTCTATGCCCAGAGCTCGTCCCTGCCTGCCTCTCCTCTGGAGCACTGATGGTGTGTGCCCTTCCCAGCTCCAGAGCTCGTGCAGCAGCTCTCCCAAAGGTCAGCAGAGCATGTGGGCAATTAGTCAGGCATCCCACGAGGGATTAGCTCAGGCCAGTGGGTGAGGGTTTGCATCTTTTCACCTGCATAGGTGGCAGCTTTCAGCTCTTCTCGTCCCCAGTGCAGGGATGAAGTCCTGCTCTGAAATCAGACTGGTATTAGCTGGAGGAAGGAAGTCAGAGGAGTTCATCTGAGCCCAAGTGTCGTTTGTACTTGGGCATGAATGTCGCTTTTAATGTCTGAGGGATGCAAACATCCAATGCAAACATCCTGTCTTTTTCAATTAAGAAGGCTGAGTGCGGTTTGGTGCTCCGGCGCGGGGGAGCCTCGGGGCACTTGGCTATATCTTGAGATAAGCTGTAGCTGAGGCTCAACTGGAAGCCCCACTGCTAAAAGACTTAAGGATATGAAAACAAAATGCTGTGATTATGAACTGGTCTTCAGCTGTTTAATTCAATTCATGGTAAACATCATTAAAAGCCTTTGTTTTGCTGTCATAAAAGAGTCAAACGGGGGAGAGAGAGTTCTTGCCATCTGCGCCACCGAGTGTGGGCTTTTTCTGGGGAGAATCTGATCGCTGTATTAATTCTCGATAGAGTCTGTTAAATGGCCACAGTTAACCCTGTAAGACTGCACGAGGAGGGGAACACAGAGGTCACCTACACATTGCACGCTGCCAGCCGCACTAATTGGAGAGGGATGGCATCCGCAGCGATAATGTATTTCCAGACAACCCTACTGTGGCCAAAGATGAAAAAAATTAAACATTTATATAACTGTACAGTGGCAGTTTAATTCTCTGCGGACCAGCACCGTGTCAGAGAATGCAGGCTGATAGCTATCATTTATTATTCTTCTATTACAAAGAAATGCTTTTTCATTTCGATCAGGAGAGGGTTTCCTAAGATGCATTTGTAGTAAGGGATGACTGTAGGAGCAAAAATGTTCATAATTGATTCCCATCCTGGTGAATGGTCTGAGCAACATCTGTTAATTTTTTGTCACATTTCTTCAGCAAAAAACCCAATCTCAGTGGACTGCAGATAGGGTTTTACAGGGATTACATTTCTGATAAGTCTGCGTGCTGGCTCTGATAACAATGCAAATAAGTTAAAGAGGCTGAGTTGGAGGCAGAGCTCATCATAGGAATCAGATGGAAGTAAATAGGGTTCAGTCCATCGCAGCATGGACGCCTCACTGCATGTAAAATACACCCCAAAAATCAGGTGTATTTCCAGAAGATGACTTCTGAAGGCAACCTGTCTGTGTCCCGGTCCTGCAGTGGCCCAGGGGGTTGGTGCTCCTGAGTATGGTTTATTTTTGGGAGGAAAGCAGCATGGTAGTGCTGCACTGACGTCCAGCTGCACCTGCAGGCAGGACAGCCACAATCTGCTCTCTTGTCCTGCAGGACCCCCTGTCTGGTGTGGAAGAGTTTGGGGTAACCCTGTGAGGTTATCAGGGTGCTGGTGGAGCAGTGAGAGGAGCAGCACAGGGGGGAAGTGGTTACTGTCGCAGAAGCTGAAAAAAAGTTAAAGAGAGTGTTGCCTGAGCTGATTTGTCAAACAGGAACGGCAGAAAATAATCAGGAAAATCAAGATGCTGAGATGATGGTGATAACAGCAGTTCCCACATGATTAAAGTGATGGCTTTCACTTGGTAATTTTTACCTGATTTTGGGGCAGAGTGGCAGGGTGGAGAGAAAACACCAGAAATTCATTGACAAGGATGTGCAGGGCTAGTTCATTGGCAAGGATGTGTTGGCTGACACTGCTCCAAACACACAGTCCTTGTCTGGAGAGCAGCCTGGCAGCTCATGTACCCATGCTTTGCTTTTGTTTGTTGTCCCTGCCCAAACTGCACCTCGTGTAATCCCAGAGAAATGGGGTGGGGGAGTTGTTGTTGGAGTTTGCTCCTTGATGGTGATGATCTCCTGGCTGGCAGCCTGGCGTGGTCCCCCCATGGCCAGTCTCTGCTGGGCTTGGATCTCAGCTTGAGGCACAAGTCCTTCATGGGTGGCCAGCTCTCAGACTGTGTCCCAATAAATTGTGAGTCTCTATCTGCTTGGTGGGTAACCCTGGATCTGCCAGGGCAGACTCTGGTTGGCAGAAATCCTTGTAGCTGATAGAGGATGATCCCTGTGTGGTCGCTCAGGGTGGCCAGGGTGGACCTCTCTGGCCAGCCTTTGCCTACTGAGATGCTGCATTTCCTGCAGAGGGAGGTAGGCTTGGGTGGATCCAACCTCCTTTGTCTTCTTAAACCAGTGATGAATACTTAGGCACGGGAGCCCCGGGAGCTGCTGGTGTTTCACTTTCCTGGTGCCACTCTTGGGTGGGAGTGACACCAGCTGCCAGTCCTGCTGGCAGGAGCCCTTTCTCCTCCTTTGGAAATGACCTAGATTTCCAGAAAAATGGCAAACCATAGCATGGAGAGTGCTGAGCTCTAGTGGGTAGCAGCAGGTCATCAGAAATACTGCCTGGAGCTCAGCCACATCGCGTATTTTGGGAGCAGGACTTCTGCCCAGTCCCTCTTTACCTCAGGATCTTAATTATTGATTATAAATTCATCTGATGAAAAGATGGCTTTAATTGCTCTAATATGTACCCAATTTGGAGTTCATTATAGCCCAGGATTGTTTTCCTTCCCTTGCTAATTGGCACCAAATGGGATGCAGAGGAAGGCGGGCGCTGGTGCCGTTCCACCTCCAGCGATTGCCTGGCTGCCTGTGATTGTTTGTTTATTTGTGGAGGTGCTAAGTGCTGCTGGAAGTTTGTATGTACTCCGTTCCTAACGAGTCCTCAGCTGAACCTCCAGACGGATTTCTCTGAGAGAGGGGTGTTTTCAAGCAGCTGGATCTCAGCGATGTTTTGGGATGGCTGGAGAAGTCTGCTGGAGATGGGATTGAGTCCTGGGCTCCCCTTTGTGCCTTGGCCCGTTTCACTGGAAGATGGGGTGGATTTTCTCCGTATCCTGGTGTACCTGAGGCTCGAAGTGCAGCGCTGGAGACAGCCCTGGTTTCCAGGAGGAGCTGCAGTGTGGGGCAGGACAGGGAGCCAGCAGCACGCTGCCCTGGGGACAGCTGTGGGGTGAGGCGTTGGTGGGAGCTCTGCCGTGGGTTTGGGGGCTCCTGACACCTGTTCCTGCAGCAGCACGGGGAGAGCTCAGCGTGGAATGCTTCCCAACGCTGCAGACCGTGGTGGAGCTTTTCCCTGGAAATGGCAGCGCCGACCAGATGTTCGCAGGGTAATTGAAAATTCCATTTTATCAGAAAGCGTTTGCTGTCAAAAAGTTTTATCTTTACTTCAACAAAGAGGCTGATTAGGTCCCTCAGGACCTGAATTAGCATCTTTGAGGTTGGATACTCTGTTTTGTGATTCAGGTAGTTATTCCTCCCTTGGTTTTCCTCATACTGGTACTTTTTTCTTTAAATCCCTTTGCCCTCTTGCAGTCGTAGTGTTTGTGCAGGTTTGGCTTGTTTTCTTTGTGTGGATGTGCACAAGCACCTAGATATGCTTAAATGTATTCTACTGCCTTTTTCACCTTGCCTTGAGCAAGAGCCATTCTCGTACTCTCTAAGTCATGGGAGCTCTTGCCAGCATAGAAATCAGAAAGGAGATATTTCCAATATAAGTTTTTAATGTTAGAAGCAACAGATTTCACACTTATCTTAATTCCCAGTGCTGACCAGTATTTCAGCCATCAATTACAGAAAGAAAATCATTGGTCCAATGAAGCAGTGATTCACTGTTTAAGATAAAAATAGAAAATATGAAAATAATAAGCACACGCTAATCATAAAATGGCAGTGTTAGAAATAGTCACCACAGACATAAAATAGTGAAAAAGCTTTAAAATCAAAATGAGAGGGTTTTAAGCAGTGTCAGTAATGGATCTCTACAGAGAATTGCTTCTAAAAGCATCACTTCCACTTTTGTGGTGCCGGATCAGCAGTAAAGGTGCATGTGAAATGTCATCTGGAAGGACCTGATCCCCCATACATTTCCACATCTGTGTAACTGTGCTCACAGGGGAGATTTAATTGTGTCTGAGACCCATAAACTCCAGCAAGATGAAGGCTTCTTTGAATAGAAATGGGTTATATTTAAATAGTTGTGTTAAGTCTTCTTTATGCTATCACACAGTGTAGAAATAAGATTTGGATGTAAAGGAGGAATGGGTCCATGATATTCACCGAAACTTTTCTTGCCGGTTACATCCCAAATTATTCAGATGTATCATCATTTAGGGGATCAGGTTTTATCTGGAATATTCCAATTGGTTCTTATGCTCATCTCCATAGTATCTGGGTGTATTTCAGCTGTGAATTGAGAACATGACTAATGGTATTAACTGGAGGCAAACACAGGTATTAGAAACTGTTGATTTTTTGTAAGCTGATTTCCAGCAGTCGTTCTACCTACACCCCCCTTTCACTCTGCAGAAAAGCCTTTCTGTAGAGCTGCATGTACATAAAGACCTCAGTGGCATATTCCAGGGCTTTGCAGGCTGCGTTTCTCTGCAAGTTTCTACAAATTAATGAAAGTACCTAATTTCTTGTATTCACACACGCTGCACAAGACATAGAGGATAACATTCATAAGTGAGTGACAGCACATCCCTTAAGATG